TCATCCTCTTTTCTTGGCTATCTCAGAGTTCTCTGTTGTGGTAGCATCTGTAACATACATAATCCCTCCATGTAGTACTTTGAGATATTTATGCCTAAACAGCTGTTGTGTCACCTGTAAATCTTTTACCACATTTTGGCTAAAATTGGTAATTGTAGGACTTCAGTAATGCTAACCTAGAATTTATCCATCTCTCACTTTCTTCACTTGCACATATTTTTCTGTTCCGTATTTTCCCCTTTTACCTTCTCCTTTTTGCTTGTTGTAAGGATAATCTTGATGTTTTACTTGATCGTCTAAGTATTCAGCAGCCAGAAATTGGAGTAAGAAGATTTCTTGCTCTGTGTTGCATAGTTTTATTTTCCAGTGTAACAGTAAAAGTCAGAATATCTCATATATTTGACTGGAATTCCTTCTCTCAGTGGTTTAGCACTTCATTCCTGACCCAGCAAAGTATGCAAGTATATATTTAACTTCCAGCATGGAATCCATCCCCTTGCTTGTTTTTACTGGGTTGTTCATCTTTTCAAAATTAATCACATGTTTTAAAATATTTAGTAGTCTGGGAAGAAAGTGCTTAGGCAAAGGGAGAGAGAAGTCTATTTGAGACCTGGAATCTCATGTGTGCTGAAAGCAGAAGAGGACTTGGTACCCCAAGTCTTTACCCCCCGTAGGCATTATGTTCTAAATTCTACAAAACATTTACGTCCATGGTGAATCCACATTCTTTTTGGTGTTTAAGATCAGGAAAAAATGTTAATTCGATAACTTGTCATAAATCAAGCCAAACCAGAAGGCAATATATCAGGGAAGGAGGAGTGTAAATCACCACATTCAACAGCATTTTGGTGTTTAATAACACTGAAGAAACCAAACAAATATGTGCAGTAGTAGTATAGGGCAAACATGGTCCATGCATCTGCATACAGAGATTATGAAGCACAGGCAGGAAGGGAATTATTAGACTTTAGTTTTTCTTTCAGCTTGGGTGTGCATACTCAAAAAAGAGAAGAAATTACATTAATCTCTTTGTTTAGTCAAACAAATGAAAAACTGTCCATTTGCTGGGAAAAATATTTATAGATGTTTTGGGTAGACTTTTTATTTACCAGAAAAAGAACAAATGTGATCTAATTGCTGGAAAAAACCCAACAAAACAGGATAAAAGGAAACTAGATGGAGTTGTGGTTGTGGTTTTTTTGGTTTTTTTTTCACTTGTGTGTATTTTTTAATTGACACTACCTTATTTATAAAACTGCTTTATAGGGTAACATAGTGTAAATCATGTTCAATTCTTAAAATAAATTTTGGGTGTCTTTCTGGAATCTGTGCTGTAGCTCGAACAGAAGGTACAGACTTGATGGAGGAAATTAAATTATTTTGGGGAAAACATGCATAATCAGTTTGGGTTGGAGCAGGTACCAGAAGGGACCATTATGATCCTTTAAATCCATGAAGTGTACTTGCTGCCTTTCTGAGGAAAATCAGATTTTCTGAACATTTTTCTTTAGAAGAAATCATTTGCCTCTCATGAATTTACCTGATACAGTTAATGCAGTTTAAAACCAGTCACATATATACAAAATGTGTTGTACGTAGGTTGGAGTTGAACCAAAGCTTTTGCAAGAGTCAGATTCTTGTCCTTGCCTCAGCAGTGCTCTGCTCAGCTGGAAACAGTTGCTTCTATTGCAAACAGTGAGCTACACAACAAATTTCTGTTCAATGTTTTGTTTGCCTGAAATGGAAAAGTAGCAGCTGCCAAGGCTCTAGTGTTTAGAAGCAGATGATTAATTTTCATTTTGTAGATAGAAGCAGAGGTGTGTTCATTTATGGAGATGCTGAGAGTTTGTAGTTGCCTTTGATTTTTAATGTTGGCTCTGTTGCATCATGCCATCATTACATTTATGTACAGATATATATTTAGTTTGCTAAGTTTCCTACCTAATGAGGTAGGTTAGAAATAGAAATCTGAGTGGTGTGCAATGTATGTGTTCTCAAAAAAAATCCAAATTCACCTAGATAATGACACAACCTGAATTGTATGTATGCATAAAGATTAACTGTATACAGTGTTTGGAAAAGGTGGCTGGATAGAAAGATTAAAATTTCAATTTCTTGAATATAAATAATGAACACAGCTGTCCTATGGTTTGACCAGTAAATTATTTCCTATAGGCTTCGTTTCTATTAGTAAATAATTTTCATCCTCACCTGCTG